CTGCGTTTCCGTTGTCATTGAGAACGGCAACGGACATAGCGACAGCGGATTTATAACTACAACGCTTGACCGCGCACCCGGATCACAGTGTGGTCGGCGTCTGATGCTTCACTGAGCCCAAGTAACGCGCGCTTGTCTCCATATTTGCATAACACAAATTCGTACCTTAATAATGGGAAAATAGAGACGAATATGCTATAGGCGAAAAACATGACGCGTCGCGATGCTTCGACTCTGCGCCAGTGTGAATTGAGCCTAAGAATGTTAATTTCTTTTCGATAAATATAAAGTTCCTTATTTCGTGATTCAAATAAAATATCTTCATTTCATAAAGTAAGCAAATTACACTTTCAGTCGTTGCATTGATTTATTTCTTCTCTCAGTCACTTGGTAAGAAGTTATTGGTGATTCTAGTATTTATATATTTTTAACGCTGCAACAGAAACGATATATTCGACCGTCATCATTGAGTTGGTTAAATAATGTTAATGTTTTTGGGAGATAACTGTTAATTCTAAAATTAGTACGACGAAATGGAACATGGAGCAAATTATTCCTAATTGGAACTTTGAATGTAACATTACTGAGGGGATCAATCTCATTCTGAGCAATGTGCAGCAACAGCTATATTTTTCCGTAGATAATAAAGGCAATTGATGAAATTTTTCACAACGTTGTATGTACTCCAAATGGGGCAGTTTAAATTTGTAACTTAAAAATGTAGTAAATTTCTTCTGTATTATTTTTAAATGCTGTTAGCATCGAATATATAACCAAACATAGGGACGAAATGTCATTTAATTTGTTTGGAAACTATTCTGCCAAATCATTACGGTGACAATTGCGCTCCCATTGGCCAGCCCGAATTCGAAACAATTGATGCGTGTTTCACTTCAAATCGACCAGTTTAACTTGAGCTTTGCTATAATGGACAAAATTCAAAAATTACACATTTAATATTTAATTGCCGATGAAATGTGATTCCGTTTATTTTGTAATTAGATGTTTTGCTGTTTTTCCCACATCACCGAACAGCCCCCATTGTTAGAGATATTATATTTAATACAATAAATACAGAATATTATTGGAATATACGGAGACGTACACACAGGTCAGCTGTTGGCGCTGTACTATTTCAGCTTTCTAATTTGTGATTTCAGCGCAAACGAGAGTTGATATTTAAAAGTGATATAAGACACATTTGCCTCATGAGTTGCCTGGGATGCATTGCCCTTATTTCGTCTCTATTTCTGGTTCTTATACTCGATGGTTGTTAGAGTAAGTATCGTAGCAGGGATTTCAAATTTGAGATGCATACTGAAGATGGTTACGGACATACGTACAATAAACAATTTTTTATATTCTTACGAGGCGAGGTTTGATTTATTCGACAATACTTACATGATATATTGAATAGGTTTTACAATGTCAATTGCTATACTTAGACTCCAATTTATCGATGCAATACCAATTGACCTAACTAGATTGTTAACCATGTGACAAATGTAAGAGGTTATAGATGATAGTTTCTATAGTCTAACCTTCAGTCTTTAATAACTGCCAGGTTTATTTAATAAACAATAGCAATAAAAGAAATAAGTGAGCTTTGTTCTCCATCTCACCAAATGGAAAGTGCTTATCACCTTCAACACTCTGGTCTGGGGAATAAGTCCGCAGGTAGGGAATTCCAATCTCTTGCCGCTCGCCATAAATGTGGAAGCGAAATGCTTCGCGCGAATCCTGGGAATGTCCACAACGTGGCGGTGGAACCCCACGTTTAATCCCCTGATGATGGACAGGGGAAGGTGGAATCAAATTATGCAATTGTATAATTGCATGCATGGAATTCCATCGCACTCTCTTCGTGATATATCCTGTAGAATACCTATAAGCAGGCAACTTTACGGCGGTGTTCAAGGCTCTCTTGCCTCTACTAATCCCGAGCCACCTATAAGCCTCTTGCTACGCTTGTCGATTGAATCCAAGGTGGCCAGTTCGTATTTAGCAGAGGGAGCAGAGCCATCCCTTAAGTGGCAGCAGTACTCACTGGTATAGCTGAAGTAACTGTTCCTAGTTAAAAAAACTAAGAATGAATGTATGTTTTTGTGATATGAACTGATCAACATTAGCGCTAGCCTATATAGCAACCGGGTGCAATAATTACCTTGGCACGTGATCAAAGTGGAATACTTACAGTAATGTTTTCTACAGCGATCGGAAATTCGGGTGCAAATGGTACATTTATAAATGATATTGGGAAATAATAGAACTTACTTCGTTTGCGTGCACGAAACCCTGCGCCTGTGTGCTCCGTACACCTTTAGTGTCGGTAGAGGTCATTGTGAAAGACTTTGTCCAGGGAAGTACTGCCGTCTTAGCTATTTCTATTACTGCGTCCCGGTTTTGAAGGGTGCTGGTGAAATTGCAGGCACATGGAACTAGTCAACTGGCACTGCACCGCAAATCTTTGCGATTTAAAGAATCCGGATTGGATTTTCCCCTGCACAAAAATCCAAGGAAAGCTGAGTCGTGGTAGAAGGAAAACCTCGTGGTTGAAGAGTTTGAGAGACTGGTTCAATCTTAGCTCTTTCGTGCGGCAGCTTAAAAAATCAGGATAGCTGTGATGGTCACCAACCTTCGCGGAGAAGCAGCACACTAAGAAGATAAATATGGAAGCGAACCGTGACGTGCAAACTCGAATTTATTTTTTCCGAAATAACGTTTGTTAGAATTTCCATTACACCGAAAACCGAATTATAACGAAACCGTTGTTCTCTCAAGATATGTTGGTTGTTTATCGCAAAGACACAACTAGGTTCGGTTAGGTTAAGTTAGGTTTGAAAGGAAAAACTTTTTCCTTTCAAAATTACTTTCGAGGTTATGAAAATTCGAGCAAACGCTATTTCTGGAAAGTGACATTTCGGGCTACTTATAGTTAACCGTTTAAAGAGTTGGGTCGCCGACTCAGAGACAGGGGCTGCGATCACCGCTCTGGGTCGTGGTTAGTTCAGCAGGTGTCCATTGCTGTCCAGCGAGGCAATGCTGCCAGTATAATGGGAACTTTTGCCCCGGGCACGATACAGGGCGGGATTTCTTTTTAAATTAAGTATATTTCACGTGAATCTCACTTTTTTTGTATTAGATTACCTATTGACGAAGCCTTGTGCTGAACTTTAGGTTATACATTTTATTATTGTTCATAAATGCATTTTGTAAATTTTGGAATAAATGAATTTGAGCTTGAGTTAACCGCTTAAAGAGACTCTATCAACTACTATGCTTAGCTTACATAATAAGTCCGCACTACGAGTATGTATTCATTTCTTTATTTCAGTTTTTAGTTTTATGCGACTCTTATATGACCTATCGACGACGCACCTACCGAAATTATCTGCTTGTTTTGTGTAATAATTTGTGATAAGAAAACTTCGATAAGATTTTGATCTAGAAGGTGTTGAACTGGAATGAGTACAAACTTATCGGGTGTAAAAAGATTTATCGAGTATACATGTACCTTAGTACCGAAGTCAGGCGAAAATTGGTGCTCATAAAATATATTTGTAATATAATAACAGGGTATCTCATAGCGTTTTTTAAAGTGCCGCTGGTGGATGTGCTCGTGGTGGTCATATGAGCAAGATCGAATCCCATTCTTAAATGTAACATGTGTACTGCACCTGGAAAAAATATTAAGCTCTATATCTCAATTATTCCTGTTTTATTGAAACATAAAATTGTGTTCACAGAGCTTCTCGAAATCACCCACAAGCTTAGAAGTACTTTAAGTTGTACAAAATAGATAAATAAATAAAACACCAGAGTATTTTGTAGCTGCAACTAGATGCTGCCGAACAACGGGCAGCCAGCGAGAAACAGTTGTTGGTGACGGCAGAAATAGGTACTTCACTGGACGAACTCTTTCACAAGGAGCTCTGTTGGTACTAAAGCAACCTACCGGCCTGAGAGATAGGGAGTTCTGGGGAGACTACGAACTAGCCGGCAAGACGAGGATGCAGCGGGCGTTCGAGCCAAACCATTCGTCAGTGATACGCCTTCACGTACGTAGTGGCCTAGTCGAGGGACTAAGGAGAGGAGATGCGGAGGAGCCCTTTAAGTCAGAAGCTGTAACTGACTGCAACAATACCCGGAGAACTAGCAGAGGATAAGCTAGATATCTTCCGATCCTTCCAGCCGTTTAGGTTATAGGGTACTGGAGAGACACCGTTTCAGCGTCGGAAAGCGAGTGTGTACAAATCCGCCACTAAAGAGGAGATTTGGTAGTGGAGTTTAGAGCCTACGGGTTAGCGGTGGCTACCGTTAGTTGCGCAATGCGCAACGGGAAGTGTACGATGGTACTGTACGTGCACCAATGACGACTCACCCGAGGCACTAATCTCTTGAGAATCGGACAAAGTCAGTGAAAACGGTCTGTAACAACCCTGTACGCTGTCTGATCTGGGGTCGGAAACTGAACTTAGAAGGCTCCTATGCACACACTTTATAGTGGCCTTCTCGTATACCCTAAGGGTCGGTAGGGTCACTATAATCGGTTATATAATCGGGTCGGTAGGGTCAATATAACTTATGTAGAAAGGTGCGGGGGCTGTTCATTCTTCTCAGGGGAATCTGCCTTACGAAGTAAAAGAGTAGTAGAGTAGAGTTTAATAAATGTGGCGATTTCAAGTGTAATTAGCAAAGATATCTTCGATTATGTTTCACCGTCGAGGAATATCAATATGACACGTTCACCTAAATCACACCTGATTACAACATGTTAACACAAAACATATCGTAATCAAATTGAAACAAGGCTAAAAATACATATGTATCTTCTGACAACAAAAAACACAAACTTAACATATGCGCTACAATGCCACCTTATCGTCTTTCTCATAAGAGCTATATAGCATCTATGGGTTAACAATAATCAGTTGTCAATGACATATGCGCGTTGAACAGTAATCAGTTGAATTCTAAACATTGTCGGTTAAATACGTGCCTCTTATAGTTTTCCTGTTAAAGTATAGTTAGCGATTTTGTGTACTACAGACAGAAATGTCGTGGATGAGACCGTTTAAAACGCCTGTAGGACAAGTTTGGCTCAGATTCAAAGGTAAAGATAAAGATGGAGTTCCGGGTAAATGGTGAGTTCTCATCGTGGATAATCAATTAAATGGCTGCCCATACACAGGCGGCGTAGAGATCTTCTTATCCTATCCCTTCTTTACTCAACTCTATTCTATCCCTTTACGCCTTCGTCTTAAAGGTCGCTTTATGCCAACCCTTTTACCGTTACAGCGATCGGACTGTGGAATTCTCTCTCTGAATCGATTCGACGATCCCGTTCTCTAGATTCCTTCAAAGTGTCAAAGATCACTTCCTCAACTATTAAGTTTCATCTTTTCTCTACTACCCTTTCATTTATTTCCTATATTTATGTTTCATTTTTCTTTTTCCTTAAGTATTTATATTATTATTTATCTTTTGTCGCGTATCTACGTATCTATTTGTAATATTACTTACTATGCAGTATTCTTTGCACCCCTTTTGCATATCCCAATTGTCTATCCTAAAATTGATATATATAACTTAAATTATTGTTTCGTATTTTAAGTGTAATTTTATGTGACGTAATCGACGTTTTTAACGAAATGGAGGTATTATCATTATCTGGAACCGGTGAAACGAGATCTGCAAAGTCAAAGTCAAATAAATGTAAAATAAATTTACACACGACAACGTCATTCAAAAACGAGTAAGAAACTCTAAGGATTGCTCTTTTAAAATAAACTATTTAAGTTTAGTAGCTTAAAAAATGACGTTATCAAGCTTTTTACAATATCAAGTGACGGGACCAACATGTCGTGCGCCTGATCGTAAGCTACGTCCAGTTGCAATGCCACTCAGAGCATAAATCGCAAAGATCTTGAGGGTCACTGCGACTGCTCCCGTCTCCCTGAGACATTAGTTAACAAGTCCCATGTGCCTGTAATTTCACCAGCACTCTTACCCTTATAAACCGGAAGACGGTAATGCTAACATTACTGCTTGGCGGCAGGAAGAGGTAATGTGACAGTTCTCCCGTGGACGAACTTTATCACAAGCTCTACTGCTACTTAAGTGTAAATATTGTTTTTCCTATGGAATAAATTATTCTTAGACTTTGATTCACCAAAACTCACGAGAGAAATAAATGTAGGCCATACAAATATCTCTCCCGCCCCGGGAATCGAACCTGGGACCTCTGCGTGGCAGTCCGGCACGGTAACCGTTCGGCCACAGAGGCAATTATGACGTCGTGAGACGTCAATTTATATCTCAGCGTGACCAGGTCCAGAGGCAGTATCCCGGTACAGTTTTCTAACTTGAACGCACAGTTACTATGGAATATACTTTGAATCAAATTTGTGTGAACTCTAGAGCCATGTCGCCTTTCCACACATCTTTGTCTAACACGTATTCTTAAATTTTGTTGTATGACATTTCATTTAAAACATTTTTAATGACAAACTAACTTTTCTACTACGGTCTGGGTGTTTGTCGTACCGTAGTTGTTTCCGATTTTCATAACACAAGCGCTTTAGTTACTTACTTTGGGATCGGACGGAGAAACCTATGTGGTGTTGTCTAAAACAATAGTACATGATATACATATAAATCTTAATATTATATGCTCTAGAATCTTAAAGCCTAAACTAAATTATTCTATTTGTTTAAAACACATAGCGTTAAAGTTTGTAAATAATTATGATACATAATTCACACATATAAATATACACACGCCAGCACATGAAGCTACTGGAGGCGATTTTCGAACAAAAATGTGTAATCTGGTGTGTCGACGTCCATACATGCAATATAATGAAATATAATACACGACTAACACATATTTTAAAATGGAAGTATATTATATATATTTATATAATTGTTTTGTCTATCTATCTTTTTTACCCACTACAAAAAGGAGAGGTTCTCAATTCGACTCAATTTTTTTTGTGTCTGTATGTTACCCGATTACTTTATTACGAACCGATTTTGATGATTCTTTTTTGTTGGAGAAGAGGGTACCTCAGTACTAAAATATTCCACCTCTAAGGGTGGCAAACTAGGGCATGAATCTGGTGCCAGCACTTTTCGGTAACCGATTTCAATAAAACTTGGCAAATAGATGTAGTAATTCCTCGAACTTTTGAGGCCGTTTTTTTCTTGTAAAAAATTTATGTACAAATTAAATTTTTATTGAATTGATATTCAATTATTTTTTGTGAAATTACTCCACTAGTTTGTTATAATTATTAATACAAAGATCGAACACTCAGAAAAAACACTCAGAAAAAATTCCTGCGATCCGGTCGGATTCGAACCGACGTCTTCTTGCATACCGTGCCAGACGCTATACGCTAGACGCTATAAGTTACGTACGCTTCCGGACACATAATTCAAGCCAACACGCATTTTCAGTATTAAGTGCCCTAAGCTTAAACAATGTTTGATTGATCAAAAACTATTATGCGATTTTGAAACTAGTATACTAAACGTCTTTCCATAAGTCCTTGTTGGGAATTTGGATTATTATTCTTTTTTTTTCTTATTAGCGCACACATTAAACATAGCCCCGCACTAGGGAAACCCTGTGACGCGGATGCATAGACAACCACAAATTACACCCAAACTCACATACAAATATTTCTCCCAGCCCGGGAATCGAACCTGGGACCTCGTTGTGGCAGTCGGGCATGGTAACCGTTCGGCCACAGAGGTAGTTAAATTTGCAACCGGGGGAAAACTTTTTCTTTGATAATAACACTGTTTTTGTATTCTAGCCCTTTACGACAAAAATGCGAGGTGGGTCGAATATGTGTCCGGGAGTGTATTTTATTTTCCAAACAATCCAAACATTTCGGGCCTGTTACAAGTCTCATGGTCACTGTTGACTGAGATAATGTTTGTCATCAAACAGTTATATTTAATATTTACGCAAACCACCATCAGTTAAAGTGTTAATTAACTAGAATGCTAACCTACATATGGATCGAAAATCAGTTACGTAAGGTTTAATGGAAAATCCAAGGTGAACCGGTGATTAATGATCGATATGACAACAAACAATTGATAATACTTAATAAAAGATGTAACCATTCGTGAGATATAATAAACTGCCTCCGTGGCCGAAAGGTTACTATGCAGGTCTGCCACGCAGAGCTCTCGGGTTCGATTCCCGGGCCGGGAGAAATATTTGTATAGCCCACATTTATTTCTGTCGTGAGTTTGGGTGTAATTTGTGGTGTTGTCCATGGCACCCGCGACACAGGGCTTACCTAGTGCGGGGCTATAAGTGTGTAGGTTATTTATTTGTTTACGTTATAATTAATAAGTGATATAATAATGAAAGACCTATAATTATACAGTATAGTATATAATTATAGTACATACTGTACAGTAAAAGTGTAAACATTAGTAAATGTGTCAATATTTTGCACGTGACAACTAACATAGTATTATCTCAAAAATTGCGTTATATTCATTGACTTACAATTATATGGTCGTCGGGTCCGCGCTAAAAAGTGTCCGAACTTATAGAGCGTTAAAATCGTATACAGAGCGTCATTCACGCTTTAGTCTTCGTTTGTTCGACTAACAGCGAAGCAAGCAAAATTAGACAGTACTGCGATGACATTACAATTTAAATTCAACGTTTTAGCTTTTTCATATTCCTTTACATGTCACTACGTTTAAATAGGTTGACTTGGGACATTTTTTTCGTGGTTTTTGGATTAGACCCGTCGTCCATTTATTTGTGAGTCAATGGTTATATTAATAATTTATCTCCAAAATTTCGCTATATTTGTATGTTATTCGTATACGATTTAAAAATAATTTCAAAATGACAGGACAACACTGCCGCTTCGAAATTAAATAGGTAATATTAATATAACTTGGAGCAATTTTGAGATAATACTACGTTAGTTGTGATGTGCGATTTGTAGTAGCTCGTTCCTTTTGAAACGTAACTGTGCAGTTAACACGAGGCGAAAGTTTCCACGCCTTCATGTACGTTAATGGCGAATCTGAATTTTATTTACTAGGAATTTAAATGTTGTCGTTTAAATTACAACCGCGTAGATCATATTCAAGCTAGCCTTGAAAAAACTTAAAACTTAAAAACCTGTAAAAGCTAAATAAAAGAGTGTATTTCGCCAACGCAGTTGCTACGCTGCGGCCGCGCAGGGTGAGTGCGATGAATTCGTGTCGAATACATGCGCTGTAAGGGTGCTAGTGGAATTACAGGCACACGAGACTTGTCAACTTATGTCTCAGGGTGATGAGCGCAGTGGTAGTGCGTTTCAGATCTTTGTTATATAATGGTCTGAGTGGCACTGCAACTGTCATGGATAGGTGTGTCGCTTACCACCAGGCGCACGACTGGTTAGTCCTGTCACTTTGTTAAATTACGCATGTTTTTAAAGTTGAAGATAGTATTTTTTTTGTTTGTATGAATACACCTTATGCTATAACTACAAATTTTCTAGGATGACCCGTGACACTTCACAAAATTCTATGTATTGTTACCTTGTAACGACGACGTCCACTAATTTACGTATTTTATAAATTATTTTTATAAGTCTCGGTTATAAATGAATAGCTTTTGTTTAAGCAAATACATGAAAATAAAATTAAGACCAAATTAGTGAGAAATGAACCGAGAAAGATTTTTTTTTTTCAAAAATTAATTTATTTTTACGACAACGTACAAAGGTAACTTCATTAGATTGCATTTGGCAGTGTACATGATAGGTCGTGATACTTTGAAATTATACTCATACTAAATAAAGCGGCAGATATTCAAACCATATTTGTATTGCAAAAACGAGCGATTCGTTCTGTGTACCGTCTAGGCTCTCGGGTATCTCTCAGAG